GGAAATGGGAAACAGAATTAGCTGTGACTTTTTGACCGCGAGGACTTCAGCGAGAAGACGTTGTGATGGGAAATGAATTCCTCCTGGAAAAGGGCCTTGGGGTCAGACTGTTGCTGCCGATTTTGCTTTGGCTGCTCACCCTCAGCCCGTGACTTTATGCCTCTCTTCTGTCTGCTCTGAACCCACCATAGCTCTCCACAGTGGCAGTATATCTCAGATAAAAAGCTTCTGCTGCCTTGCCATGGCTGCCTATCATCTCTAGCTTCGATTTCCTCCTCCTGAGATACGTTGTTACCCACATTCCCAAGTTAAGCTTAAAAATAAGGCTGTTTATATAACTGCCTCACCCACGGTGAAGGGTAAAAGGGCTTATAGCCCAATCCATGCTAGGTAAATAGATTTTATTTTCTTGTTTTGTATGCAGCGCATTGCACGTTTTGCATGCAATTAGTTACCATTGCAGCCCATAGGCAACACAGTTATTGATAACTGAGAAAAGAACCACCTCATCCCTGGAGGTGTCTTATATGGTGAGCTAAGCTGAAGCCCCTAACTCAAAAAATGTTAAGTGGGAGGATCCTGGGATCCAAGGAACGGCTAAAGGACTTGAACTTGGCTTGAACGCACACTCCTACAGAGACTCAGAGAATTACAAAATTCTCCCCCTGAAAAATACCTGCCAAATACAGCCCTCCCTTTTAAAATGCTGCGTTATGGGGAAATAAACGTGGAGGAATTAGTAACATGTAGGCATATGAGTCTCTAATAGCGCTGCTGCAACACAGTGTCTTTGTCATGTATGACTGACGGGGCGGCACGAAAACGTGGGAGTGGCGGTGGGATGGCCTTGAATGCTAAATTTTGTTGTGTTTTCCAGATAGACAGCCCCAGAAATTAAATTTTGCAGGTCTAAGTTACAGTATGGTTGCCATGACAACAGGAGCGAAAGAAACTATTGCCGTTGTTGTTCGCATTGTCATGGCCCTTATGGTCAAATCACAGCTCCTTGGGTCACGGAAGGAAACCAGCAACGTTCAGGTTTCATTCAGACAGGCTGTATTTTGTCCAGCAGACCAAGCAGAGGAGGGACAATCCCAGAACTGACGCAAGCGGGTGGCAGCAGGGGAGCCCAGGAGAGCAGGAGGGTCAGACCCTGCCCCAGCTGACAAATCCTGCAAGTTGGTTTGACTTTGGTCAGCTCCGCAGGGCATGACTTGGGACTGAATTCTCTCAGAGCGCATAAGCCTGGGACTTTGTTGAGACCGTAGCTGGAAAAAAATTAGCGTTTAGGATGGTCTGCAGTCATTAATAAAGTTTTCTTCCACAAAGCTGGATCCAGACGCTTCTCAGTGATTACTCTAGGCCCTCGATCTGACTAGTGTCTGAACAAGGACTGCAATAAAACAAATTTTTATCGTTGACATCGTCATCCCAGGCAATCATCAACCATGAAGGAGAGAGTTGGCACGTTGCTGAGACATCTTTCCTGAAGGAGTCACTGTCATGCTTTTTGTGTTGCACAAAGACCACAGGCATGTGTAGTTCAGTTGTGGGACATATAGGAATTGTGCCCTCATTTCTGGGTGTGCAGGATATCGCAGCAGTCTGTGATGTCTGATTTCCAGGACTTATCTCAATGGTAACACTAAAAAAGGATTATCTCCTCCAGGTATAAGGAGACCTTAGATAAAAGGATGGGAAGACAAGGCAACAAGCCATCAACAGCCAGGTTACAGCTGGAAGGGAACAGCCCCATGGATTTTAGCACCCGACTCCCCACACTGAGTTGATTCCCCCAGCTCTCTGTCCACCTCTTTGCAGATAAGCCCACCATGCATAGGGAGCACCAAACACTATAAAACAGTAACCCAGTGCTCAAAATTCACAAGTACCCCACCCCTGAGATGAGCAGGGGGGCAAATTTACCATGAAGAAGGAATTTTGCTGTTTATATTTTAATGCCCTTTTTTTTTTCTCTCTAGTGAGGATGAGCACATGGCTTTGACGTCACTTTAACGGTGTGGGTGGCAGCTCCACCATGGTCCCAGCAGGGACATGAGCTAGGCATGCTATGAAGGGGTCAGGCATGAGACGCTTTGAGGCTGAGCAGGGTGGGTCAAGCCAGAGCAGAAATGAAGGTAATAAAGGCATTCACAGATGATGGATTCACAAAAACATCGCCACTTCTGACCCACCTGTACTTTCTCATGCTCCCAGGGTTCCTAGGTAGATTTGCCACCAGAGTGAATTATCTCAGTCCTTGATTTAATTTTATTGGGAACCAGAGCTACAGCACGTGTCCGTGAAGAGCGAGCATGGGGGTTAAAATTTATGATCCCAATGAGATCTGTGAGCTCTCAAGTGGAAAAATGATGTCTCCTAGCCTGAATTATGCTTGTATAATAACGACGCTGAGCTCTCCTGGGAGACCCCAGAGTGTTGCCCTCTGTGCCGGGTGCAGCCCAGTTCGGGGCGCTTCGCCGTGGTCTTTTTCAGCCCAATTCACAATTTCTCTGCCTCCAGCGTGAAAATGCTAAACACAAACCAGGTTGGAGCAACCAGCTGCAGTTAGTTTAGAGTGTGGACAGAACAACTAAGCATATACTTGCAGAGCAGCATGTAAATATAGCCTCAGTAAGCTACTTTTAACTTCAGGAGCTATGCCAAGATCATATGCAATCAGATGCATGTATAATAATTTTTCACTGAATCTTTCTTTACAGAAAGTGTTACTGCGAACAGTTCAGAGGCAAACTAACTTCAATCCAATGACCACATCTGCTATTCCAATGCAATGAGACAGAGCTTTTGCAGGCAAGACTAGCAGATCAGTCTTTTTTCTGCTAATGTCATATTGACCAATGTTACCGTGCAGCAACCATAGAATCTCTCCAGTATCCTAAAAAGATTTTTCTTTAAGCACTCCAAATTCTCTGTTCATGGAGAAAAAATCAGACTTCTTTTCCCCGTATGGTGATGAGATTATTCCAAGCTGACAAGACAGGCTAAGTGCTGTAGAAACATTATTTTTTTCCTTTTCAGAGAGAAGAATTGAGTACAGCCTATCTGCTGGCAAACTGCAAGTCCTGCTAGTTCATTTATATTGTTTACTCAAGTAATACGTCAATAAGTATGTTTGAATTTAAATCAGCAAACTGACAAGGTAGTAGGTCAATTGAGCAGGTAGCTCCACTGGAACTTCTCACGTGTTGGTGTGGAAAAGAGTTGAAATGATCCCAGGATGTATATGCTAGAGACTAGTGAATAGGTTTAAGAGCCTGAGTATACCTCTCCAGATGATGACGTAGAGAAGAATGTCAAGGGGATGCACAAAACACGCAAAACAAGAGCCTCAAAAAATAGTGTGAGACCTGAAGGAGATACCTTTTGGTGAGAACTATAACAAGATTAATATCTTGTATTTATCAGAAGTGAGTTTAAGAGGTAATGTTACAACTGAACACTGGACACTGAAGCACTTTCTCAGGAAGAATTCAGCAGCTACTGCAAGAATGTTTACTCTATCAAAGAAAGTCACAGAAAGCAGCGGTGGGAGATTGAAACCAGATAGTACCAAATTAGCAACAAGATGCAGATTTGGAGTTTTTTTCACATCAGGGATGACTAGGCATGAGAACAAACTATCAAGGATGTGGTGGATGTGGTGCGTTTTTCAGCCCTGCATGACTTCAGATGAACAGAGCACTGGTGACGATGCTCCTCAGAGATAGAGGTTACGGAGCATATCTAGTGGAAACGTTGCGGCCTCTGATATCCAGATTACATGAGAGTATAACTTTGCCAGAGCACTGAAGCATAAGTAACACTTAGCAGCAGGTACTTATTCATGTTTTTGACACGAGAGCCTTCCTGAGAGCAATGACTGCTTTCCTCCAGAGCGTCAGCTACATCTCCCAGAACAATGTTTTTGATAGCAATAAACCGGGTGTTATCATTAATTCAGTCTGTATTCACTCTGTGTCATGTGCCAGCGCGGAACAAAGCAAGGACTGACACTTATTTTGAAGTTGGGAGGCTTCCTTAGAGTCACCATTATCTTGAAAAAATGTATACATGCTACTGATCTCAGATTAGGGGACATGGAAGTTTCGAAAGCAAGAACTTGAGCTGCCAATGAAAAGAAATATAAAATTATCACTTGGTTTCTCAGACAAGTGGAGCAGAGATTTGGACTGAACAGCACCCTGGAAAAAAAAAAGAAGGAAAAAAAAGCATATAAAGAATGTAATGCTCCTGTATTTTGCTGCTGAACAAATACAGTTGTTATTGTATAAAATATTTATAAGTCTAATAGCATGCCATAGGTTGCACTCAGCTTTTTTGGAAAGGGAAAAGGAATAAATCCTACTGCCAGATTCCCAGATCACCTCCGCCGATAGGATGTGCAGAAAAGCCACTGGTGCCCCTGCATCTTCATGCAACACTATGCTGGCTTTCGTTCGGAGGGAGAGCAGGTGCTCAGGGCGCAAGAGTGACCCGGGGCGCTGAACAGCTGCTTTCTGAACTGTTTCACAGGGACGCAAACCTCCTCACCTTCAGGAAAGCCAAGGATGCATATTTTTATGTCTCCTTCTGTTTGCTCTCAAGGCCTTTGATTTTATTTTTAAATCGTCAGTGTTTGTATTTCTCAAGATGATCACGTTTGGCTGAACAAGTTCCTTTGTCCCATACTGTTGCTGACAAATCTACTAGTGAAACAATTTTATTATTCATATGTCAGTTCAGTATTCAAATGTCAGTCTTGCCTCCAACTTTTCCAGTGTAGCCTTGGAACTGCTGTTGTTGCACTAACGGCTGCTATGATCTTGTCTACTGTGCATGTCGCTGCTATATCCCAATAAAAGCCGTTGCAGTCTTGCTTACCGCTGGCTTCCCTCTTCCTTTTGAAGCAGTTTTCTTTGACTGGTCTTAATTAACGCATAAGCTGGGAAAGGGCCTTCTTTCTGCCTTTTAAAGACGTTTTTGTTTCTCTGTTCCAGATTCACTTATATGGCTCAATAGACGTTTCCAGCATGTTCTTTGCGAAAATGAATGGGAAATTGAAGCTTATGAAATTTTTTATTGGTGAAAAAAAGCTGGGTAATGGTTTTTCTTTGACTGCGTTACTACTGTGTGCCTATTTGACTTCATTTCTTCTCCCCACTCAGAAGAGCCAAGTAACATGATGAAAGTCCTCTTCCAGGTCAAAGACTTCTTTGACAGCAACGAAGATGGATCGCTTACCAGCCGAGTGAATCATGTACAGGAAACCGAGGCAAGTGTTAAACATATTTAGTAGGAGAATTGGCTAAGGATGGCATGCTGAAGATCTGCAACTAATTAACACCAGTTCCACGTACTGAAAAAAGAGATTGGAAACCTATTAGATAATTAGTAAAAATCTACAGAGCTGCATTCCTCAAAGCAGCGGCAGATGTTGGAAGGAAATGCCGGCCTGCTAGGCCAGCCAGCAACTTGCCAAGGCATTAGTCATCTTGTTTAATGGCAAATATCTGGCCATGTGGGCAGTCGTGCAGAGAGGGCAGCGGCTGAGTAGCCGGAGCAGGCTGAGCACTCCTCTCTCGTTACAGTGATTGCAAGGCTTTTGCAGCTGCGCAGCAAGCACATGCCTCAACCTCCGCACCCATGAGTGGAGCGAGCTCCATAATTTATCAGCTTCACGCAGGGCTGGGCAAAGTCGCTGGTGAAACCAGTAAACTACTAGTGAACCAGTGGTTCTACCCATAGAAAAAAATGGGGAAAGAATTGTGAAGCCGGTGGCAAACACAGATGTGCTATGGAGGGATCTACCGCACGTCGTGACCACGTCGTTAGTGCAGCAACGCGGGTCTCGCGTTGAGGCATTCGGCCCCACCGGCAGCAGCACGGGAAGGGTCTGCTCTCGACAGCCCCACGAGCGCCGAGGCCTCCCAAGAGCGAAGGGGAAGCTCCTCCTCTCACTTCAGGCTTTCAGAGTAGCTGCGTTGTTACACAGGAAAATTGCCAGTCTTATTTCAGCTCTAGTTTGCTAAACTGTCAGAGACTGATTAAAAAGTATTAAATACAGCCAAGGGGTCTTTTTGCTGCCCCTCAAAATATATTCTTGCCAAGGCAGTTTAAAAGCTTCCTCTTTTCATTTCTGACTTGTTTAAATCTCTAATTTTTCCATCTCATCTGCTGCTGTTGATTAGACAGTAGCGAGGGTACAAATATTCAGCATCAGAAAAAGATAATTCCCTCAGATTCAGTGGGTGATTCCTTAAGTCTGTTGCTAATTCATCAGACCAAAATCTTTTAATTTCTGTGAAATGTTGCTAAAATAATCATTTAATTCTGCTATTTTTTTCAGAAATGTTTGTTTTTTCCCAAGTCAATGGAAAGTGAAATTGCAAATTTGAAATTAAATGACATGATTTCATTTCAGCTGGAAAACAGTGCTTTGCTTTACAGCACGAAAAATAAAACAGTGCAAAAGGAAACTGTGCCTTAGCCTCATTTTTATTTTTCATTGTAATCTGTTTTTGTTGAAATCAAGCTACTCTTGGGAAACACTTAAATACTAATAAAACTGGATTTTTCTCCGGAAAAATCCTACCAAAGCCTACCAAAGCCTAGCAAAGCCTACCTTCATCATTTCAACACTTCAGACCAATTCTACACGCACAACCACACGTGTTCAAACACGGCCCATCAGGCATTGACCACTGCACTATATTGCCGTATATGGTAACTATATTTTGATTTGTAACACCGTCGGTGCTCCCTCCTCCTGGCTGCTGAACTTCTCTTGTGAATTTGAACGCAGAGCAACTCCCCGTTGGACTTTCGCAGTTAGTTTGTCATGCATAAATAGAAAAATAACTTCTCAGGCTTGCAATGACATTTCAGGCTTTTCATATAACATGATATCATGATAATTTGTGCCATTTTGATAGACCAATACTGTAAGTGATATGTTTTAAGTAAGCCTCTAGTAACACTAGAGAAGGGTGATGCATATCCTACAAGAGAAATGTGATCACAGGCTGGCCACGGTAGTTGTGGGATTGCCTTTATTTTGTAGAAAAAAAAAAAAAAAAACTAAATAGAAAGGAATGGTGCAGAGCAGTAATTTCAGAGTCAACTAAGCAATGCTGAGTCTTGACATGGTCCTTCAGCTTATGTTTCCCTGGAGAAAAAAAAAACTCATTTAGATTAGCGAAAAATAATGATATTTATTTATGATCGGAGGTATAGATTGTATGCTTTTTAATGGCTCAGACCTGTAGAGATCCATCTTCATTTTATGAACAGGGAGATCAAGGCAAGGAAAAATTAAAAGACAAACACTAAATGAGAATGTCATAAAACTAAACATGGAAGTCCCACAGAATCACAGAAGGGTTGAGGTTGGAAGGGACCTCTGGAGATCATCTAGTCCGACCTCCCTGCTCAAGCAGCGTCCTCTAGAGCATATTGCCCAGGATCACATCCAGACGGGTTTTGAATATCTCCAGCGAAGGAGACTCCACCACCTCTCTGGGCAACCTGTTCCAATGCTCTGCCACCCTCACAGTCAAGAAGTTTGTCCTCAGGTTTAGGTGGAACTTCCTGTGGTTCAGTTTCTGCCCGTTGCCTCTCGTCCTGTCGCTGGGCACCACGGAGAAGAGATTGGCCTCATCCTCTTGACTCCTTCCCTTCAGATACTTGTACACGTTGATGAGATTGCCTCTCAGTCTTCTCTTCTCCAGGCTGAACAGGCCCAGCTCTTGCAGTCTTTCTGCAGAGGAGAGATGCTCCAGTCCCCTGATCATCTTTGTAGCCCTATCCCATCTTTTAACTTCAGGGCAAGCTCCCTGCCTCTGACCTTTGCACATGACAACTTAGCCACCAGCTTAGGGTTCCTGATACCTCAAAGACAGGCCCATAAGAAATCAGTACAAGGAACAGAAAGGCTGAAATTACCGAGATCTGGTTTCAGACAAGACGAACGTCAGTCAGTGCTGAACAGACCTAGGAGATAGGACAGGCAAGACAGATGGACGCAAGACAGGTAAGTCGTCGGATCCACGTTTCGCTGGGTTCAATCCTGGCAGCACCATTCTAGGTTTCACCATACCCTTGGGGCACTCCCTTGTGCATCAAGCATTTCTCGCTCCCTCTTAAAACCTTCCTCGCCCCATAAAGCCATCCAGCACACCATTTTATCGACAACATTCCTGTATTCTGTTGGAAAATTTCCAGAGTGTCGTGACACCTTATGGTGCTTTCAAAACTGAAACCTGTTCAGGACCAATCTGGGATTAGGCCCTGGACATGGAAATACCAAGCCTTTCTCCCCTGCAGAGTTGATAATCCAAGCAAAGCGAACGGAAGCATTACTAACGAGTCTTCCCCATTTCTGTGTCTTGCATGGGCACAGGCTGTATTAAGCATTTCCCAAAGCTTGGTTTGGCGCTCCCACCTGTGCATCAGCCCTCAGTAGAGAGCAATCCCACTTGGGTGTGGAATAAAGCCAAGGCAGGCAAAGTTCTTTCCCTTTTCAGTCCTCCTGAAGCGTAGGATGCTTATGCACCATTTTTTATACTGTTCTGTATAAATAAACTGAACTTAATATCTTCTTTTACTGTAACGCCCCCAAGCCCCGGTGGTGAGGCCTGGGGAGTTTGCACCAGCTGCTAGACACAGTGGTGCTCAGAGACCAGTTCCTGCATTAGGCAATCGTTCCTCTCCTTCATTGTTATTCACTATTTGTTCCTCAGGAGTTGTCCCTTTAGATTTGCGAAGATCAAATACAAGTCGTTTCTTTAAAAGAAAGTCTTCTGAGAAAACACTTTCTGAGAGCATCACCTGTGCTCGTGCACGGGGAGAGGAGTTTTCCATCAAGCAAAATGAAGGCGTTTGTGATTTGAGGTGCTCTGTTTTGCTTTATACTAGCTGTAATCAACTGCCCCTTTCTCTGAGGATCAGCTCTAGACGGGAACTCATCCTGCGCTGCTGTACATAGGCAATCCCTGCAGTCGTCACAGGGATGTCACCTGGTGACAAGAGCAAAAGGCAGCTTTGTAATAGTGCCTGAGAATAAAAGTATATTCCTAAAAATGTAGGTCGAGGTTATGTCTAGACTGGGAAATTGCACAAAAAGGCATCACCCACGAACACCCCTGTGTGTCCCGATCCTTGTCCACCTGGACTCAAATTAACGCTGACGGATGTAACCCCGCTGGGTTGGACCGCACTGCATGGGGGTTTAATCTGATCGCGCTCGTTCTCCCACAGCAAACGTTAATTCCTCTCGGCCATCCCCTCCCCGCGCCCCCACGGCCAGGCGGCGCCTCCGAGGGCTCGGCCGCCCC